TGTATGTATGTATGTATGTATGTATGTATGTATGTATGTATGTATGTATGTATGTATGTATGTATGTATGTATGTATGTATGTATGTATGTATGTATGTATGTATGAGTGCCACAAGGATGAATGTTAGGACTACAGTTATTCAGATTTATATTAAAGATCTTTTACTGGTGTGTGATGTTTTAGTGTATGCAGATGACACACACATATATAGTGTAGAGGCAGGGCAGCCGACTCTGGACCCGAAAGTCCCAGGTTCGATACCCAGTCATTGCACATCTCGTGGTGTCTCTGAGCAGCTCACCTTATCCCCAAATGCTCCCTGGGTGCTTTCAATAGCTGCCCACTGCACCACCTGGTGGTGGATGGGTTAAATGCAGAGATCCAATTTTGCCATTATGGGAACATACAATGATGACAACACGTAACACATTATTATTATTATTATTATCATTATTATTATCATCTTCAGTATTATTATTATTATTATTATTATTATTATTATTATTATTATTATATACAGAGGAAATATGGTGAACAATTTGCTGCTAGCTCGGCTTAAATCTTTGAGCCTAATGTTGACTGTTAAAAAAGACTGTCGCCATGTATTTTATGATGAAGTGTAACCATGGGGTTTTCCAAAACGATACAACTAAATCTACAATGCACAGTAAGTTAAATCTTAAGTGACATTTTAGAGCCAACTCTTATATTCAGACATTTTTGTTTTATGAATTTTTTTAATTAATTTTTGTTTAAATAAATAAGAAAACCAATGACGACAGAGTGAAAGAGCAGCATATATTATAAATTTAGTTTTTTATTTTATTTTAATGTATTTTATTTTCACCTGCCTGATATGGAAACTAAAAAGGCACATTGCACCTTTTTAACTTTTATTTGTGTTGCCTCATCCAATGTTTGCTTTTTAAGTGATTCATGAAAATGTGTCCTCTGGCTCATAAGAAATTTTGCAAAGTGACAAACAAATACACTGATACATGACTGCCCATCTCTCCATGGAGGCGGATTGTAAAAATACATTTTTGTTGCATTTTAAACCACATTTTTGGATTTCTTAATATAAAAGTCATTAATTAAAAGTGTTTCTCTGGCCTGTAAACATTCCTGAGCAAATACAGGCACAAAATATGCAGCTAATTACCAAAAAAAAAAAAGAATTTGAGGCCAGTACGTCAAAACAAAACTAAATTTACACAATGAAATCTAACCTTGGGGTTGATGACCAAGTAGGTGACCACATTGTGCTCCTTCAGGTATGAATCTCTGCTCTGCCCATCTCCAGGCTCCACCTTGTACGAGCCTTTCAAATGCTCCAGCGTCACCGAAGAGATGTGGACCCTTCTGGAGATCAGTAAGTGGACAGATAATTAGAGGTGAAGTTCTTGTGTCACTGCGCCATTGACAGCTATATAAAACACATTGTTTGACTGCCTGCTTTCTAACCACTCTTGCCTGCTGTTCTGTTTCATCTTTGTTTCCTGTGCAAAGAGATCCAGAAAGAAATGGAAATAACGTTTTTTCAGCCAATGTGTTTTGCAGATACCTCTCACCAGGAAAAGTGGGAGACAAACCATTAGCAGCCCAGTGAGACAACGTTGTACTAGAGAGCTTATTATCAGAGCAGCATATACCTACCCACTGGCCAATTTTCACAAGCTTGTTACAGCTCCAGGCTGGCAGAACTAATGGCTACACAACTAATGCAGAGCTACTTGGTCAACTAAGGTAGCTGTAATTTACTAAAATACTTCTAATAGGTATAATTATAACAGACTTGTCTCATGTTCCAAGTGTCTCTGAAAATAAATGTGTGTTGATGTAAGATCCCAGTAATGGGGTGTGGAAGACAAATGTCATTCTACATGAACAATAATTACAAAATGAAAGGGCTACTTTGAAGTATCTTACCCCGGCACTCCTCCTGCCTCCATGTGATTGGCTAGAGTTACATCATGTGACCACACATCGTACTGCCACTTGCGGAGTCCAATCACGCCACAGAGGACATTTCCAGAATGAACGCCGACGCGCATGTTGATGTCAACCCCGGTGGCGTCTCTGACCTTTCTGTAGAGAAGCAAATCTTTAGGGTTTGATTGGATTTTAATCTATTTGACAGTTAGGAGACTTAAAATATGATCAACTCACTTTAAATACAGTTCGTCACCTATACCCAGCCAGACATTAGCAGACACAAAGATGACTATATAACTTAGCCAACTGTATAGATGTTCAGCTAAATTTGGCATGGTAGTAGCCGAGAGTCATTCTCCATGTTATTTCATAGAGCTGTCATGTCTAACCTGGGCACGAAGCCCGGCATGGCCTGACCTGAATTTGGGCCATGCCGGGCCATAATGCGCTGGATGGGTGGGCTGGGTCGGTGTCGGGCTTTTGATTGCATCAGCAGATCAGCCGCGATCCAATTATATGACAACATTGCTTGCCATACGTTCCAATTTTATGGCAATATGACTTGCCATACATTCCTAATATATGGCAACATGGCTTACCATACAATCACTAGCCACACGCGGCCATTTACCGCGAGCTGACCGGACTTGAAAGAGGTAAAATAAAGTTCAGATAAGCTTCAGATAGGACTACTGGTACTCCAGGAAGCGATTCATCGCCCAAATGGACGTTCAGCCGCTGCACTCAGCGGACGCGCGCGGTCGATGACCCAAACAGGTGAGATCCCAAGGCAGACATGTCAGAGCAGGGTCTGTGTCTGAATAATGCAGAATGCAGGCAGAAGCAGGGTTTAAATGCACTTTGACGGCCATGAAAGGACAAAAACCCCCTCAGCTCTGATCTTCTGCCCCCTTAGCTGCATGCATCCACCGACTGTTAATAACTATATAAGCAGTCAAAGCTTAAGTAAAAACATTGGGGGGGATTTTTGGGTTCGGACCTGTTACTGTTAATTTGTTGGGTTGGGTGGGGTTCGGAAATGATGGCTATAGGCTGGGGCAGTGTCAGATTTTTTGGACCAGAATGCAACTCTATTTCATAGCAACATTTTCCAGGTTTGAACAAAAATGGCTACAACTCCATCATTGCTTCACATGAAATGGTCTCGATCTAAAACACAACAAAAAATATGTAACCAGAGCTTCATAGTGTCCTGTGAATTTAATATGCATGAGTGAAAGGCAGAGGGCACGGCTAGACAACAATATTTATTCATTTGAGTTTCATGTTGGTTCAGATGGGAGGCTTATCATGTTGAATTCACTCCATGTTTACTGGTATTCAATCTGGCATTTCTTCTGCTCAATCTGTTTAACAGGCGTGTGTTTGTTTGTTTGTGTTTGTGTGTGAAAAAGAGGAAGAATGAGGGTGAGAGCGAGAAAAGGAGGGAGGGATCTGATGTTTTACTTGATGGCCTCACACATATCCAGGCCCATCTTCACGCAGTTCCTGGCGTGGTTAGGCAGTGACTCGGGCAGCCCCGACACGCAGTAGTAACAGTCGCCCAGGATCTTGATCCGCATGCACTCGTTTTCCTTAAAGAGTGGGTGACAGCAAAAAGAAACCACATCCAGTGCTTATTAATGATTTAGACTCACCAGCACACGCCGAGTCAGGTCCATCAAGCCCAAAATTCAAACACCCACACACGCAAAACACATTCCACATGTGCGATGAGTAACAGCTCATGGTCGGACTGGTTTTACATAACGCCAGCTTCAGGGGGGTAGAGAGCTGCAGGACACAAGACTCAGTGAGCTGGACTGTTTAGACCCTGATAACTGAGCTCCCAAAGGACAGTGATACACTCTGACCAGCCTACACACAGCGCTCATAAAGAGGACGGCAACAAGGTCGGCAGGCTGCAGGGGCGAGGAAAAGCTGTGTTCAAACAGCATTTGATCAGATTGATGACATGAACATTCAATTTCTTTAAGACTTGTCATTTTTAAAAGGCAACTTCATTTGCTGCAATAGACCATTGACATGTCCAGTGTGTCTGCTGTCTTTTGTGAGGAGACAGTAATGGTCAAAGTTTTCACATTGAAACCCAAATTACGTCTGATTCATGGAAAATGTACACTATTTCAATTCTAGGGTATTATGTGCCAGGGTTTTTTTGTCTTCTTTCAGCTGCTCCCTTCTTCAGGTGTCATCACAGCGAACTAACTCACACCAAGACTTGGCAGTTATTTTTACGCCGGATGTCCTTCCTGATGCAACCACAGACCACCGAGCTACCACAGCCCTCTGTGTGGAGGTTCTTAATAAAAGCCACAGTTTAGCAGTTACATACAGGTGTGTGTAGCACAATGCCAAGAGGAAAGACATCAACAAGCTTCTGAAGGAATTGTTGCTGCCCATCAATCTGGGAAGGGCCATTGCATCCTAAAGGTTTGGAGTCCGTTATGTGGAAAGGATTATTCCCAAAGGGCAGTTCACAAAAAATGTTAAATCGTGTCATCTGGACAGTTTCTTTTTGGGAGAAAGGTTTTTGTCTTTCATCCGAAAGACTTCATCAGTCTGAGGCCTGCCAACCCTGATCTGTCTTATAAATAGTACCTCCTTGATGTGTTTCAGGCCAGCCTGCTGTGCAATTTCCAGAAACTAGCAGCTTTAATCTTCCCAGCAAATTCACCCCAAGGTCAGTTTGAACAATGCTCAAAGAAATAACAAATCCATAAAGGACATGGGTCCAATGTGAGACCATCTGTTAGACAGCTGAATCTTTGGTCGTACTTCAGGACAAAGACTCAAAACACAACAACAAAACTACAAGAAAATGGGTAGATGTTGCAACAGTCCAGACCTCATCCGGACTGAAATGCTGTGGTGGGACCTCAAGACAGCAGAAACAAATGACGGCAAACTTTAATGAACAGTTATAAAGAAGAGTGGCCCTTTGTTTTTTACATCCATGTACAAAACTGTGAATGTCCCACAAACACAAAAAGACAGTTGTAAGTTATTCGTGCTCAAGGAGGTTATACAAGCTGCTGAACCCGGGGGTGGAGTTTGTCCTGCACAGCTTCTCAAATTTGACTTCATTTCTGTTTAATAATTAATGACGGGGTGGAATCTGTTGTTAGTTTTTACAGGGTTTCCCCTAACATTATTCTAGGGGGGTGGGGGGACCCAAGGAGGTCATGCCATGTAATAAATGTTTAAAAGTCTGCAGGTGTTCACTTGTTACCAATTCATGGAGCCAGAGGGAGACACTAAAACTGATACATCACCACCCACACTGTGCCCCAATCTCCCAAGACATTTAATTAAATTAAATACTATTTATTTTTATAGCGCCAAGTCACAACAGAAGTCATCTCAGGGCACTAAACAGAAACATTCATATATAAAATAATAATTTAACATGTTTATCTGAGGAGCAGACTGCTTTGAATCTTAACTTTGTCACATAACTTTCATCCTGAGCAAGCATGAAGGCGACTGTGGAAAGGAAAATCATCCCTCATGAGAAAGAAACCTTTATCAGAACTAGGCTCAGGACAAGCGGCCATCTGCTTCAACCGGCTGGATTTGAAAGGAACAGATACACAATGGCAGGTCAAGAATCACATGTTAAGATAGAAATAGTATCAAATGAAAACTATTCAATTTTAACAATTAATTTAAAGAAATGAGGTCAGTTTGTCATCCAGTAATCTAAGCTATAGCAGCATAACAAGCCAACCCTAACTATAGGATTTAGCAAAAAGGAAAATCTTAATCCCAGTTTAAAAACTGGACAATGTGTCAGCCTCACGGACAGAAACTGGAAGTTGGTTCCACAAGAGAGGAGCCTGATAACTGAAAGATCTTCCTCCCTTTCTGCTTCTGTAAACTCTAGGAAACACAAGTAAACCTGCAGTCTGAAAGTGAAATGCTCCGTTAGGAAAATATAGAACAATAAGATCTGTAATATAAGATGGAGCTAGGTTGTTGAGCGCTTTGTAGGTTAGAAGTAAGATTTGGAATTTTATTCTGAATTTGACAGGGAGCCAATGGAGAGAAGCTAAAACTGGAGAAATATGATCTCTCCTGTCAACTCTCATTAAAACTCTGGCAGCAGCATTCTGGATGAGCTGACAATTTTTTAAAGAAGTATTTGAACACCCAGATAATAAACCATTGCAATAGTCCAGTCTAGACTAAAACTAAAAACACAAACGCGTTTTTCTGCATCATTTTTAGATAAGATGCTTCTAATTTAACATTGTATTAAATATATACCAAACGAGGTGATGCTTGCACTTCATAACGTATTGAAAACCAGGAATACCAAAGAATCGTGACTTTTTTTACATGATTTGACTCGTTCTGGACGTGTTGTTAGCATGTAAACATGCTTACACGCTAACAATGCATTCAATAGCATTGGACATGCAAGCTTTGACTGTTTAAGGTTGTTTCAGACAACTACATCCTAGTAGTCTAAGTTGTGTCTCATCTGATTGGTTGTTCAGATTTAGGTTTAAAATTTTAGCAAAAAGAGAGGAGGTCTTCCATCGTTCTATGGCCAAATAACTCACTGTTGTGCTCCCTCAGTTTGTAATGTTTTAATGTACATGTTTAGTACACTCCTACTTAAATACTGAAAGTACAGAATTATTACAGCAGATGTTCATAAAAATATTTTAAAGCTTTGAATGTTTAGATGGCTGTAAACTTGTTAAAATGCACTGAAATTTAACTTTAATTTGTGTAAAACTATTTAGATGTTACATCTGCTGTAACGGTGCCTCATGCTTTTTATTTTCCAGTGCTAACATGGTACAAAAGTTAACTTTATTAATTAATTTATGTGATATTATGAAATTAAAGAAATTAATAGAAATGAAACGGGAAAAATGTGTGCGTGTGTCAAACAACATGTTATTTATGTGTGAAATACATGTTTACAACTTGTTTTCATGGTAATTACATGTTAAAATTTGACACTGCTTAATACCTCTTCATAAATTAGATACACAAATATTGCATTTTTTATGCTAAGAAGTTACAGAAATGTTTGCGAAGCCCAGAATAATATGCTGCATTAATAAAAAC